GCTACGACCCCCTCTCCCAGCAACCACCAAATATGACCCCCTCGATGTTATACCCTGATTTCATCTGTTTCTTGTATTTTCCTGTGGGATGTATGTATACTGGGACTGAAAAACATGTTCTGATAATTTTGGAGCATAAACAATTTGCCAAATATACCATTTAAAACGGCGCAGACAGGTAAATGTGTGACACACCATGTGTGTCACGCGGTACGGAACGTGTTAATAATTGAAGGAACACAGGCTGGCGCCGCACCAAATCCTGCCGCCTCCCTGACACGCCCCAACATTCTCCGCGAAACGCTTTAAAAGTATATTGAGTTTAATAGGTGCGCAAAAAACCATTTGGTTGATCTACCATAATAATAAAAGCATACCTGTCCCCTAACATTCCGAACACCATTGAGCCAATCATCTGACCAACATAATAACACGCTTGTACAGTTGCGCGGATGTTTCCACGTGAACAAGTAATTTCCCACTGAATTAAATTTCTAAGCATTATGAAGTGAACATTAACCATATAAAATGGTGGACAGCAAAGTTCCCAAGCGTGTTCATACTTTGCAGCAGCATTTAGAGCATCTGTCATCGATTTGAGCAAACGGTGGCCGAAAACGCTGGCGGACATTCAAAACACTAGGTCAATCTCTGCACTTTCCTAGTCGCTCGAAACGCCCCCGCAAACTATGAACGCACTCTTGGGTAGCGCTGAATCTGGTCACGTATAGCAATTCCAGCGACAATCTGCAATTAATACAGGAGCAGCAAAAACTCAACCCTATCCATGGCCGAATATTTGACTCGGGAACGATCGTAGACATGAACGTCACATTCCACGCCATTCAATTCACAATCCTCATAGTAGTAACACTAAATGCAGTCAATTAGGTTAACAAAAACACAGAAAACTCAAAAACGCGAGTAATTACGTACTAAAGAAACTTGTTAGGCGGTTAAGTCCCAGCCAGATTCGTGGTGCTCAGTACTCTTTGGGGCTTGCAAGGCTGCACTGTTAGAGTGCCAGGCTTGACACATTGTTAGAGGAATGGAAGCCGAGCAAACACTATCTCAGTGGGAGGGCTCAGAACAGAAAAATCACAGCTTTATCCCAACTCATTTAACATCCTTATTCGATAGATACTTGCTGGAAACAGCTTATCAGCTCCTCTGACGAAAATGTCATGCTCACGCTATTACGACCAGTTTGTCGTAGAATCATCGTCTTGTAGAAAACACATAGGGGGGATCCAACCTCGCCTTTGGGAAGGTGGGTCGAGAAGGGGAGGGGGGGGGCGTATGTGGGTTGAGAGAAATTGCCGCCTTGGACGGGAGCCCAGCATTGACCTCCGAGTCGCGTGGTGAGCGAATCACTTGCCTCTACACCATCTCGCCTCCAAACGCGCCTTATAATAGAAAACTGGGGTAACCATTACAAATAAAATAGGAATTCACATACATGAACACCGTGGCGTCCCGATCGTTTTATCGAGACAGGGTTCTCGTTCAATCCGCATTCTTAATATTAAATCGGATCGTCGGTCAGATATTTTGACTCCTTCGTTTCTGTCGGTAAGGCACAACTGGAAATATCCATTGAGACAACTATCAACTGCCAAAAACTGGGCTAATAGTTCGACTGGTCTTGTCAAGTTACATCCACTTAACAAACTGACCGAATGGAACATGGTACTTGAGCCAGTGACCAACTAAGGGCATGCATTGATACAATGATAGTTGGAAGGCATACTAGTAAGAATTGCACTCGCTGGTATCTGAAAAAAATTGATTAAAATAAAAGGAATTGAGAAAATATCCATTAATGTATCAAATATGAACTCACTTGCCCATCTCGCCAAGCGGGTGAGTGAATAAAAATCAGTCACTTTCATTGTTCGCACTTTGTCACGACAATCTACACAACCTGTGAAAATAATTGGACTTATATGGACAGTCAGGAGGCTGGACAAGCCTATTTGCTAAATCGAATGGGCAGAAATTTGCTGTTTCTAGCCTCACCTCTTCTGAAAGGAGGCCAAATTCAAAAAAAAAAGACTCTTGTCTCTGATTGTTCCTAGCAAGAAAGTACCTGTGCTACAATTAAGGTTCGAGCGGGACCAGACAGTGTGGTATTCTTTGTTAGTGACAATGGCGCGCTTACCTATTCGCGCGGCGCCGGGTTCAAGTCCCAGTCGTCCGCCGGCCAGGTCCACCCAAGCCTTTCTACTCTCCGGGACGGTGATTATTGTTACCAGTTATCGGGTGTTTCGACGTTGGGTGAGGATTGTGTTAGTGAAACACTACTTTTTACATCGGGCTGGCCCCGCAAGTCTTTAGTTAGCCACATCGCATTTCATTAGCCGCCACTGATTTCTGAATTGATTGGTATATATCGCTCTCATTCTCAACATATAGATGATCTAATGCCTAAATCTAATCCTTTAGGTCCTTCTTCTTTTGATGGCTGCCTAACGCTAGCTCTATTCTTCTATTTTCTTTGTTCTGCGAGCTGTGTCCCCGACATCTGCCTCCACCGACTGCTCAGCTTTCGACCGCAATAGATAGAATGTAATTAATTTCTCCATTTCGAGTCCAAAAACTCATTTTTCGCCTGAGACACCCGACTCAGCACCGATCGAATGTAATTTTTGGCTGCGCGAGGAGTGCTTGTCACATCCTTGTTTACTCCACACGTTGTGAGCTGCGTCGCCACGTTCTACCAGCAAGTCTGCTAGCCCTCCCTGATTCAGGGTAATGCTCGATACCGGGTATTTATATAACCTTATACTTTCCTATGTCGTACTGCGAACTAACACTGCTCCTACGAAAGAGACCAAATAGTTTACCCGCCACCCAGTACGATTGGAACCGGAGGCCCCTCCCTAACTTTGTGCGCATAAGTGGACAAGTGTCTGTTCCAGGGCGCAGTTTTAATGACGCGCTCAAGAGAATAGGTCTGCCCTAGACGGAATTTCGGCCCTAAATCTATTTGCTAAGCAAGAGGTTACAACTTAAAATTCACGTCCTGACGTTCAAATAAAGATGTATGGGGCTGCTCGCGTTGGGTTTGTGGCGCAAGGTGCCTTAACAAGCTTGAGGCATAAGTCAAAACGTAGTTGGCTACGAAGAGCTTGTCGGGGACAGTTCGCGTTGGTTGGGCATACTATAAAGACCACAATCCTTCCTACATACATGCCAATCGTACATCGTCCATCGTGGAGAAATCTGTATCGGCCTTTTGTGTTTAGTCGCAGCTTCACGAGGACTACAAGCGTATCCAGCATTTACTATTGCCACTTTATGCGGGACGATGTTATGCATGGGGTACCATGAAGTAGCAAAGGGAAGCCGGTTGAGGACAGAACCAGGCGCTGTTCCGCCCCTCCCAATTCGATCACCGCCGAAGTTGCTCTCAAATAGTGATAAGGAGAAATTACAACAACGAGAGGAATACTATTTCTTGACTTTCTGACCAACAGTAAAATGGGAAGTAAGACTCGAAATCCAACAAATCCGGCTTCTCAAAAATGCAAGCTTCAGCTTGAGACCGAATCGATCATGAGGAGACATACCGAATTCGGGGCAAGCAAAAGCGTGGGAAATCTGATTTAGTCGCAGAATTTCCCCTCTTGCACTCAGGTTTCTCCTTGCGTCATAGCACGTAATAAAAAGAAGGCAACAACAACAGCACAGCAATAATTCAAGTTCAAACTAAGCGTTTGCATGAATACCCAGAGAAGAGCCATCATTCATACCTCAACAGCCAGCTGTTGCAATAGAAAATGTTCTCAAGACCCCTGAGAGCATTAAATCTCTGGAGGAAATATCCAGGCTAACAAATTTGACAAGGAGAACAAGAAAGAAACAAGCGGAAGATATTCTACAGGGAACTCAGAAGAAATGAGTTCTCCACAGGAAATCTTATAATTTTTTTACCTCAGTTCAAGATGCAAATAGGGGTGCTCAAAAAGGTCTTAGCGCGGCAAACAACGCCCTTCTCATTTCTGAAGCCGATCGTTATAGCGATGGTTCCTATGCTAACAAAAAAAATCCATGAGCTTCCAACGGTACACTGCAAAACGGCAAAATAAAGGAAATGAGGTTGAAGGTCGAAGCAGAAGACGTTAGGTGACAAGCTTTTGAAGAAACAAGCAGAAAAGAAACGTTGGAAACGTACTAAGTAAGACCCCGGTAGGCTAGAAAATTGTCCGAGCATGCGGCCCGAATGTTGTTGTTTGCTGATATCATGAGGTAAACAGCTGTCCCCCTGACACAACATTTTCGTTAATGGGATTACCATCACTGCCCTAGCTTAGCCTGTCTTGTCGACCAGACCGCCCTTGTTAATAGCGCGGGGACCACACATCTGGGTGGGGTCACCTTACTACACAAAC